TGTAGCTCCAGCCACTGGACCGAAAGATGAAGAAGCAGCGCAGTCTGTGTTGTTGCTGCTGATGTACCGCTTGGTGTGGTACCAGACTGAGGCGGATACGGGTCTGTCATCGTTGAGAATGGCAGCGATGGCAGCGATGGCAAAACTGTTGGCCTGACTCCTGGCCTGTGCATGGCATTCAGGATCTGGTCCAGGGTGTCCTGGATAGCGTCCACTTTACTGTCCATGTATGCGTGCATGGACAGGATGCTCACCTTGAGAATCGTTGTCGTGTTGTCAAGGGCCGAGTCATCTAACCCCTCTAATGCAACTTTGTCTGCCTCTCTTCCTCGAGTCTGACACTTCTATTTCTAATTTCATTCTCCCTTTCAGTAGCCTTTTTAAGTTCCTCCTCTAGCCTCAAGCGTATTTTTTCTACTTGTTGGAGCTCCATCTGCTCCTGGGTGCGTGGAGGTGGCGAGCTGAACTGTGAGCCCGCCATCTGCCTAGTGGTAGCTCCTGATGTACTGGAGATGGATTGTGAGCTGGTCTGCTGATCAGACGAGGTTGCTGCATTTGTTGCTGTAGAGGTAGCCATTGCTACTGCGCTAGCTTCTGCTGCCTCTAACGTCCTCTCTACAACTGTTGTTGCTTCCCTGACAATCTCAAGATTACGGGCCCTTGCTTTGGCCCTTAGCCTTTTTTCTTCTCCTGGTAGCAGGACCTGGAACACCACAGGCACCCTAAGTGTATCATGCCTAGTCTGCCTTCTATCGTCAGCCATACCTTCACCACCTTCTGATCCACTCATCGGCTAGGCAGACGTCGTCTGCACTAGAGTTCACTATGGAACCTACCGCTGCATGCGTCTAACCGGTTCTAAAAATAAATAAATAAAAATAATATCCGGCGAGTCACCTAGGCTACTATTCAAGCGGTATCAACAACATTCACACATACTGTACACATAATCTAAGTCTACTTTAATTACAGCAACTTCGACGATAACTGGCTATGGTAGAACACTACAGTTCTAGTCTAGGTTGTCTGTGAGGTGTTAGCAGTCTGTCAACCAACTAATCAAAATAAAAATAAATTATGTGAGCAGATGTATGCACAATGGGTATAGTTGTGTTTGACAGTTGAGTCTCAATTGGTATCTTCCTCCCCTGTATCCAACGTGCTTGTAGCCATCATCAAGCGACAGTGTCTAAGGTGTGCATTAGCGGCCCACCCCTGTGTCCAAGGCATATGCTTATGACCAGAATTGCCCGTTGTTTATCCTCGCGTGCAACGAGCCTTACACCTGACTGATCTGGCTGATCAAGAGGCAGTTTAAGGACAGCCCCCAAGGTCCTCAGAAATTATTTAACGTCGCGATCAGGACGACCATCACAGCCAGTGGACAGATCAGACACCCATGAGAAATATTTATAGACGGTCTGGATAGAGTCGGCAAAGGAACGGTCAATCCGCACACCCCTTCTATCAGCGCAGCAAGGAGCCTCGAAGGACAAAGCACCATGGCCTGCGTGTACTACTCCCATGGGTTGGCATGGTGACAGTGACCCATGCTTCAACCAGGGCCCTTCAAAGGCACTGCCCTCTCCTGCCAGATGTGCCACCGGGAAGAATGTCGTCTCTCAAGGTAAGCGCTCACAACTCCTCACATAAAAGAGAGGACACTCAAGGTTGGACTTTCTTCCTCAGAGTAAAAAGAGATTGAGAGGGTAGATAAGGTAAGGGAACAACAAACCTGGAGATAGCTGCCCCCAACCACAGATTTCTCACCAATTGAGCCGATGTGCATTTCGATGACCAGTCATAGCTTTGGTACCACCCACAACGCAATGCTGTGCCACCTCAACCAAAATGCCACATCAGCATGCTCTCATCATCATACATACATCTGTTATCGCCACAGCTCCCACGAGGTCGCCACACCCTTCCAGCGGCCGACCCCTCTACCTGGGCCCCGCTATATCAAGCCAGTGCCAAAGTATCCTTAGTGCACAAAAGCATCGTCAGTGCACCAAGTAACAATGTGGCCAGGGCCAGGTAAGTGGCGATCTCGAACCAGCTCCCATACCAAATTGCAAGGAATATGAGTGGGAACGATCTACAGAAAACCAAGTTGCGAAATCAGACAGATGTCCAAGTAGTTGTGTGCAAGCAGAGAGCACAAATGCACCGAGATCCCATCCAAATAAGAGCAATACAATGGAGTAATGAGCCAATGTTCAAGTCCTCAGGCCACACCAACATAGTATCCAAAGTAGCTCCTCTCTGTCTGGTGCCCAGCGTCCAGCCTACACCACTCAACTATCCTACCTACATCAGCATTCTCGCGACAAGCTCACTTCGACTCAAGAAGACCAATGTACATGACGTCAACACTGCTACATGCCCAGTTGGGGGATGTACATACAAAACTGAGGATCCGCAGTGTGATAAAAAGGACTGAATGGACAATGCGGTGCAAGTAGAATCTCAACAAGCAATGTGCATTCCGATACATACAAAATTGTGCTTTTATAGCGCAGGGAAGACTTAGATACAAATCCTGACCTAACCGGGACTGACCCCTTTCACGTAGTACAAGATAGCGCAGCAGAGTGCTAAAATACTAATGACTAGCCCAATCAATGTTTCAACGCAGACCAAACATACATCATGCTCATCACAAGATGTGAAGGAAGCCTAGCGCTATACACAGGGAAGAAGCGCCAGGTCCAGACATACACAGACGAAGAGGAGGGGATCAGACGAAGAGGAAGGGGGAGATGGGAAAATCGTCAACACCAAGTCTCTTTACGAGTCCCAAATAATCCCTCTTCGAAATGTCTGAAGTCCAATGTCGAGTCAGGATCCGAATGTCACCAAGCTCTCTCTCTCTCTCTCTTTCTCTCTCTCTCTCTCTCTCTCTCTCTCTCTCTCTCTCTCTCTCTCTCTCTCTCTCTCTCTCTCTCTCTCTCTC